ATGCACCGGGGCTTGCCTTGGCAGGGAGGTATTAGCTCAGTCAGTCAGTGGTGGCTCTGGGACCTCCTCCTACACGAGGATCTCCTCGTACTCCTCGATCACCTCCTCGAACTCATGGTCTCCGATGGTCACGATCTCCGCCAACTCGTTCTCTACATGCATGCGATGATGATGCAACACTTAGTATTTTAGCAACAGCAGATCCTAAAATAAGAATACACATGGTAAACTACTAAGCTAGCTCTAATGACTAAGATACTAAGCTAACTATCATCTTCATCAAGTAAAGTGTTGGGTTCAACTAACAAACACCTAGCTTTACAAATGAAGGAAATATCTTTATTTGTACTAATGATTTAATGTATATTTGAAACAAAGAGCATTTAACTACCCTTATGTTAAGTCTATTCTAAAGCTACAAAAATTATAGTGAGCACATAATAATACCATGTTGCTAATGTAAAATTTTTAAAGCTACAGCTATCACCATTCTGCCACAAAAATTCCTACAATATTTAACCTAATAATATTAAGCACTCTCAAATGATTTAAAAGCTCCTAGTATCAACATGTATATATATGAACTAAATACACAAACAGATAGAGCAGAATTATAGAAACTTAACAAAATTAGTTTCATATTTTTTGGATACCTACATGATTTTATATGATTTACCAAAGATCAGCTCAGAAATACAAATGAAAAGTTGTTTCTATTCTCGACGAAAAAGTTAAATTGATTTCGGCCCAACACGACCCACACTCGACGCAGCACGTGGGCGCGAGCGCACGGCGGCCCGCGGTGCGGCCCACGCGGCAACGGCCCACGCATGCGAGGCGGCCCACGGCGAGGAAGCCCGCGCGTTGGCACATTAGCAAAAATGCCCTCGCGTTATCATAAAATAGCACGAACACTACACTTACTATTTCTACAGACAACGGCTTTGCAATGGAACCCTCAAAACTTTCTCTTCTTTACAACGGCAAGGCCCCAGTGCTCCCCGCGTGCTCTGACATGACAAGCGGTGGCACTGGCACTTGGGCCGGCCACACGAGACCCACGCTGACCTATCTACAAGGCTGATGCTCACCTGGGATTCTACGCAAAGCGATGGGCGATGGTGGCACGAACGGGGGTGAAGCAGAGCAGGCTCTCCTCGGCGGCGGGTGGCCTGCAACGACGGCAACCGTGTTCTAGTGAGCCACAGCACTAACAGGACGATAGAGATAGGGGATAAGCACCAGGGGCACACCACGAACCAGGCCGAAGTGGTGGTTCGATCGGTGACAACCTGAGTAGTGCTGGCCATGTGCGCGCGATGAGCACGGTGACGAACCATGGTGGACAAGGCCACTTCAGCGATAGCGAGGAGGCGGTAGCGCTCCCACTAGCGTGCGCACGGTGGAGAGGGAGCCAAGGTGAGATAGTGGTGCAGAGGAATTAGCATGGATGAAGTGGTGGACGCTGGTGATGGGCCTTAATGGCATGGTGGCGGGCAAAGCTCCAAAATTAGAGCTCGGCCAAGCCACAATCAAAGCGGGTTGGGGTCGGCTGGAGAGGGCATGTAAAGGCGAAGATGCGACCATAAGGAATTGATGAGAGGTGCTCGCTCTCGGGCTCATCGTGACATGACACGACGGCGGTGGAAACAGAGGGAAAAGAGAGAAAGAGAGAAATGGAGCGCGATAGTGGGCTCGGCTTGTCCTTGCCTTGGCGGGACGCGAGCGGCGAGAATGGGAGGCCCACGTGCCGGCGCTACAGACCACATGTGTGCACGTTCGATCGGCATGGCCCGTGCGGCGCAGTGCCATAAATGGCATGGCGATGGTGGCTCGCCCACATGCGCGCGACAGAGGTGACACGCACAGGACCGGCAACAGCGCAGAGGTGTAGCAGATCAGCGTGGACATGACGACGATGCGACAGTAGCGGCAGCGTCGCGACGCGAGTAGTGATTGTAGTGTAGACGTGATGGCAGCACAGAGCGGCCACGGTGGCACCCTAGACAGCAGCGTGAGGCAGAGCAGCAAGGCACGGGACCGGCGGCTCGCTGCGGCCGGCCTCGGCCAAGCCCAGGTGGCTCGACCGGCCAAGCACGGTGGCACGGCTGACCACGCGAGATGTGGCCATGTAAGCGGCATGAGAAGACCGCGCGGTGACCACGCACTCGGCGCCAACCAACCCGAGACAGGGACACGCACGAATTTTAAAGCGTTCAACACGACCAAACGATTGCTTTAGGACCTAAACCATCTTCACCATGCTCAAGATGGCACATGAGACTACCAAATCGAGCTATAACACTACACCACCCTTTAACCCAATCTCTCACAATAAATTGCTAAATATAGCAGTGTCTAACTGCTGGCAGACTTGAAAATTTCTAAGTTTTTGAGCTGAATTTGATTTCCATTTGCGATTTCTAAGCTAGTGGAAATATTAGCTAGTAATATCATTTTTCGACCGCAAGTATTTTATTGTCATCTACAAAGTTTGTACTTCAAACTTTATTTAAGTATCACATACATGTTCTATAGCATTTTTGCTTAATAAAAATTGGTTTTAAACCCTAAGTGATATAACATGACTATCGGATCAACTTTTGTTTCATATTTCTGTTGATCGTTTTGAGTTATAGAAATTGATCTACACACTCTATTACATGCATTAACACATAAATATGATGCTCATGACATGTTTTAGTGAATGATTTATGGTGTACCTTGCTTGGATCTACAGAGATATCTTCAAGTGTCAGAACATGTCCCAAAAACTACACTCGATCTAACCAAAACTCACACTTACTGAATTTGGCATACAGCTTGTGTTCCCTTAATCGAGTCAGTACTATCCAAAGATGCTGTGCGTGCTCTTCATTGTTCTTGGAGTATATCAAAATATCATCAATGAACACCACTACAAACTTATCCAGCTCTGGCATGAAGACTGAATTCATAAGATACATGAAGAATGCAGGAGCATTGGTGAGACTAAAAGACATAATTAGGTATTTATACAACCCATACCTAGTAGAGAAAGTTGTCTTTGGTATATATTGTGGCTGGATCTTAATTTGATGATACCCAGAACGAAGATCAATCTTTAAAAACAACTTGGCACCAGCCAACTGATCGAACAAAGTATCAATATGAGGTAAAGGATTCTTGTTCTTAATGGTTACCGCATTGAGAGGGCGGTAATCCACATATCCGTAGAGTACCATCCTTCTTCACAAAAATAGCTGGGCAACCCCATGGTAAAGAGCTAGGATGGATAAATCCCTTCTCCAATAATTCCTCTAACTACTTCTTCATTTCAGCTAGTTCTTTAGGAGCCATGCGGTAGGGACGCCGTGAAATAGGAGCAGTGCTAGGTTCTAACTCAATGTAAAACTTCACATCTCTATTCGGTGGCAACCTAGGTAGATCTTCAAGAAAGACATCCAGGAACTCACAGACCATAGGAATAGAGGCAAGATCAGGAGAAGCTTCAATATGAGCAACAACTGGTAAGGCTGGATCTGAGGGCATAAGAAGAGACATCCTATCCTCGGAAGAAGGAAGCCATAACTCAACAACTCTCTGCTTAAGGTCCATGACTACCCCCATAAACTTGCAACCAGTTCATGTCCAGAATTGCATCCATGCCTTGCCTAGGCAGCACCATGAACTAGAGGCGGTAAGTGTGAGTGGCTAGCACTAATCTGACTGTGTCTGTCCGAGTATTAATGCACAACTGCGCACCTAGGGTACTAATTCTATAGGCAATAGGAATAGCCATAAGAGATATATTGTGCCTCTGTGTAAACCCCATGGTCATGAATGAATGTGATGCACTAGAATCAAACAACACGTATGTTAGGTGGGTATCAATGGAAAACATACCAGCCATCACTGGTTCATTCTGTAAGATCCCCTCAGCCTCAGTGAAGTTGACTTGTCTAGAGCGGCTTACGGGCACCTTCGTCTTGATAATCGTCCTCTTGACCATACAGGAGTTGGCTAAAAGCTAGGAAGACTGCATAGGCTGGTTCTGTAGACACTCCCAAGCATCAGGGGTGGACCCAGCACTAGGGCAGCCTAGGCCATGGCCCTAGTCATGGCCCATGTAACAAGGGAGCAAGTCTTCAGTTTTTTTTGGCCCATCATTCCATCAAGCAATCCAACAACACAGGCAGCCCAGGCGAGCAAGTGAGCAATGGAGACAGAATCACAGAGAGCCACTCGGCCTTGCGAGTCGCGTAGACGAAGGGGAGTCGCGAGTCGCGACCGCTGCTCCATGGCCGATGGCTCCACCAGTACACACTGGTATTGGCTACATCCAGCTGGCCAGCCGGCAGCCTACGCCTACTGGCCCTCTGCTCCACCTCTGCCCTCCGGCCTCCACGCTCTGGCTCCGGCGCTCCGTGGCGGCCGGCGGCGTAGCCTTGCCCCCTCCGCTATGCGCTACGCGGCGATGCGACCGATGGCTCCTTCCTCTTTTGCTCACTTCCTCAGCCAGTCAGCCGGGTGCCAGGTGCCGACCTGCTGAACGGTGAGCCACCTGCCCTTCTTCCTTGCAAGTTGTAATAGGTTTGGTCGTTTAGATCTGAAAGCCAGGTCAAATAGAACAGTTGAATACTTATGCGTTCATCAAATGTCAGCGTAAATCATTTGTTCATTTCAACAAGCATTTACAAAATGAGCATTCAATGCCTGGCATAGTAAGTAGAACACAAAAGTACAGATTAAGTCCTTGTCGCAAAACTATAAAATTCGAAGAAACATGGCAACTAAAAACAAGGTTTATCATCAACTTCCGCATAGATTGTGGATGAAGGTTAGCCTTGCCATATTAGTACTCTATCTTAGTAACATGTATACAGTGAATTGCCAGTACATTCGGGTTGCTACTGAAATGGCAAAGGCCAACAGACTGAAACTGATTTAATTCCAAATTTCTAATTTCCAGGTTCCCAATTTCAACCATTTGATTCTAATTTCTCATTATAGTATACAAGATGAAGAGGACTAGCCCTTTAGTTTTATATTTCTCTCGAGTTCCTGAGCAACAGGGTGCTGCCGAACAACAACCGCAATCTCAAGCTCCTCCACCGCAATCTCAAGGTACAGAACAGGAGACAATTGGGACTAGAGCTAGTGCTGCACAAGCACAGAACCAACTTGAGGAAGTAAGAACAGCTACAACTAGTTTGCCTGCAGTAGAACAAACTAGAAATGAAAATATTGATTTTGTGGAGGAGGAGGAGGGCGGTTCCAATCATGTCCTTAATCCTCAAGATATTATTGCAGATCCAGGTTGTCAAAAACCAATTGAGGAAATGCATCCAAACATTAGGGATGATGCAAAAAGGGAGTCTGTCTTGTTAGGTCCATGTCAACCAAAAGGTCATGTATATCCCAAAAGGAAAATATATGGTCACAATAGGAGTTTTCTTGATACATGGTTCACAAATCGTGCTTGGTTGGAATATAGTGTCTCTAAGGATGCTGCTTTTTGCTTCTAATGTTATCTATTTAAACCATTGATAGTTGATAACTTTGGTGTTGAATCCTTCACAACAAATGGGTTTACTAATAGGAAAGATGGACCAAAAATTATTGGATGATCATGCTAATTATGTGCTTCACAATAAGGCAAGAAAGGACTATGAGTGTTACAAAAATCAGAGACAAAGTGTATCACATGTAATTTCTAGGGGAAGTCAAAAGGAAGAAGAAGAATATAGAGGTCGATTACTCATTATATTGGGAGTTGTAAAATTTCTTCTATTGCAAGCACATGCTTTTCATGGACATGATGAGTCATCTCACTCTAGCAACAAGGGGAATTTTTTAGAAATGCTAAACTGGTATAGGGGAAAAGATGCAAAAGCTGCAAGGTTACTTGCTAGTGCTGCTAAGAACAACACAATGACTTCTCCTAAAGTTCAAAAAGACTTGTGCAAAGCTTGTGCAGAACAGACCACCAAAGCAATTGTTGCTGAAATTGGGGATAGGAAGTTTGCTGTTCTTGTTGATGAGGCACGGGATGCATCAATCAAGGAACAAATGGTTGTTGTATTGAGGTAATGAGATCTGTATTTTTTTGTTGTTGTTGAATTCTTGTTTGAACTTCATTGCTGATTTTGTTGCTCTATGTGACTGTAGGTTTGTCGATGCACAAGGACAAGTTATTGAGAGGTTCCTTGGTATGAAGTCTGTTGCTGATACAACTTCATCATCTCTGAAGGAAGCATTGGATGGTATGTTTGCTTGCCATGGTTTGTCTATGTCTAGAGTCCATGGGCAAGGGTATCATGGGGCATCTAATATGAGAGGACAATTTATGGGCTATAAAGACGGATACTAGACGAGAATCTATATGCTTTTTATATACATTGCTTTGCACATCAATTGCAATTAGTGGTTGTCTCAATAGCACAGTGTTGTGGTTCAGTATTTGATTTCTTTAACATCACCTCTTTGATTGTCAACACTGTCAATGTTTCTTGTAAGAGAAGAGATCAGTTGGCCCAAAACCACCATGACAATATTGTAAATCAATTGGAAAATTGTCAAATTTTTAGTGGTAGAGGAAAAAATCAAGAAACTAGCCTTGCAAGGGCAGGTGATACAAGATGGGGTTCTCATCACAAAACCTTGTGTCACCTTTTCCATATGTGGGATTCAGTCTTAGAGGTATTAGAAAATATTGCTGAAGATGGTGTTGGAGATAGAGAACAACAGCTTCAAGCTTGCTGTTACAAATGGAGAATTTTGAGTTTGTGTTTATATTGCATCTTAAGATCAGATTATTGGGCATAACAAATGATTTATCACAATGCTTGCAAAGAAAAGATCAGAATATTGTTCGGGCTGTTGGGTTGTTTGGGATCACATTGCATAAAATTAATGATGTAAGGCAGCATGGTTGGGATGAGCTGTTTGAGGAGGTAATGGAGTTATGTGCAATCCATCACATCATTGTCCCAAATATGGAGGAGAACGTAACTGTTCAAGGTCGTTCAAGGGGCCGTGGAGGGCAGCAGGTAACCTACTACCATCACTTCAAGAATGAGATCTTCATTGTGGTGCATGACCAAGTTATTGTTGAATTAAATAATAGGTTTGCTGAAAGGTCTACCCAATTATTGAGATGCATTGCATGTTTAGATCCACGGAATTTCTTTGCCAGCTATGACCGTGAGAAACTAATTGAACTTGCTCAGATTTATGATGTTGATTTCTCCCAATATGATCATGATCGGCTTCCGCAACAACTTGATAACTTCATTAGTGATGCGAGAGCTGATCCTTCCTTTGCAAATTGTATGGACCTTGGTGAACTTGCTATAAAGTTGGTTCAAACTGAAAGGCACACAACCTTTCCATTGGTTTATCGCCTCATTGAGTTGGCCTTGATTTTACCTATTGCAACCGCCACAGTAGAAAGGATTTTCTCAGCTATGAAGATTGTCAAGACTGAGTCTCAGAATAAAATGGCGGATGAGTGGTTAAATCATAGGATGGTATGTTATGTTGAGCGAGCTGTGTTTGCAACCATCCAAAATGATGACATCTTACGGCATTTTCAAGAATTGAAGACCCGAAAGAAGAAGTTACCTAGTATGTTACATAAATTGCTCCTTTTCTTATTAACCTTTACTTGCTTATTTCTTATTAACCTTTTTGCTTGCTCCTTTTCTTATTAGGAGTTGTTATTGAGGACAAGGAAGTGGACGATGCGAATGCACCAAATCAGGAGCGTCACTAGACACTAGGTATTTATTTTTCAATGTTCCATGATATTTCTTAGCTATTAATTGTATAGTTGAAGAACTTTTCTTGCAAACTTTGCTTGAGAATAATTGTTTTCTGTGATATATATATATATGGTCTTATAGACTATGCTGTAGCTTTGGGTTTTTGGCCGCTAAGATTTGGCCCTAGTCTTGGTCAAATCCTAGGTCCGCCACTGCCAAGCATAGTGGCCTTCCTTGCCACACTTGAAACAAGCACCAGGCTTGTTCCCCAGCCCTTGACGAGACGGAACCTGCTGTCCCTGAGGCTATTGTTGCATCTATAGAGTAGGTGCATGGTACTGAGTGGGAGGTGCCTGGTAGGTCTACTGAGGCTGATGGAACGACTGCCCACCCAAAGACTGATAGGGCACCCGCCTGACAACATGTACCTTCTAAGCCTAGGGATGACTAGAAAATCCAGTAATCACCCGCTTCTGCTTCCACTCAGCCTGAGAGTCACGCTAAAGTCCTTCTATGGCAATAGCGGCATTCATCATAGCACCAAAAGTCTAGAAGTTCTCTATGTACAGCTCCTTTTGCAGACTGCAAGAGAGGCCACGATAGAAATGGTCCCTCTTCTTCTCATCAGTATCAACGTGGATCCCAGCATACTATGCAAGATGGTTGAACTTGTTCATGTAATCCATCACAGACATGCTCCCTTGCTTTAGGTCCAGGAACTCCATCAATTTCCTATTCAGCACACCAGTAGGAATGTAGTACTCTATCAAAGCAGCGGTAAACTCCTACCAAGTCACACAGTGGTCCACCGGCTGCATGGCATTGAACGTGTCCCACCATGCACTGGCAGAACCCAATAGCTGCTGTGCTGCAAAGTGCACCTTCTGTTCTTCAGTTATAGTGAGTAGCAGGAACTTTTGCTCTAGAATATGAAGCCAATGCTCCGCATCTGGAGGCTCAGTCGTCGGCATGAACGTGGGTGGGTGCATCTTTAAGAAATCCTAGTAAGAATAGGGCCCCTCAGGACCGCGGGCACCACCCCCGTTCCCGCCATTGCCTCCATGGCCCCCACGGGTGAAGCCACCAATGGCCTGGCAAGCATCTCCAAGGCATGGCCTAACTCGTGCCGAGCAGCCAGCATCTCCGCCATCATCTCTACATGGGTCATCGGAGGTAGTGGTGGCGGAGGAGGAGCCAGAAGTGGGGCCTTATGGCTCTCCCCATTGTCGTTCTCAGTGCCACGACCACTTTCACCTTGGCCTTCGCCAAGGCCACGGCCCGTCCTAGCACTGGTACTCCCATGATCAGACCTCAGGTTCATCTGTAAACAGATATGAACCAACCATTAGGGACAACCCTCCAGATAAGGAACAAGAGACTTAGAGAAATGATAATGCTTTTATTAAAGCATTCTTTTAGGTTACCCTATCAATTCACTAATCCAAATTATACATGTGGGGGGAAGTTTAGTTTAAGCAAGATTCTCTTTTCATGATGCATGCATCGGCCTACCTGTTCACTCAAGCCAGAATATAACGGCATTCACAAAATTTTTTGGCACATCGCACACTCACTTTCCGTATGCTAAACGATTCTTACACAGCGTAAGTTAGTGTACCTGAAGAAAATTGATTAGATAAAACCAGTGCCGCTATCCTAGATAGACCATATTGCTAGGGCTTATACTTATTTACATAATTTTATCGCATCCTACTTTTCGTAAAACTTTTTGTCGGGGACCTAATACCAGGGTACCCCAGAAGGTGGAACCGATGACCACCGAACGTGAAAAACTTCTAGATGCATAAGGGCTCCATGTCATCCCTTGTTCGAGTAACAGGAGTTCGGTTCCGCCTTGCCCTTCCGTCTCGCCCGACCCCGGAGGGGCGGGGTCAGCCTTACCCGACGCCTTTGTAGAATAACCCTGCCTCGCCCCAAAAGCTCAAGGCTAATCTCCGTCTCGCCCGACGCCTATAGGGCGGGCTCGGTCTCGCCCGAGGGCCGAGGGATAAACTCCGCCTCGCCCGACGCCTTGAGGGCGGGCTCGGTCTCGCCCGAGGGAAATTTGAGGATGAATTCTGTCTCGCTTGACCCCGGAGGGGGGGGTCACCTCACCCGACGGCTGGAATGAGCCTTGCCTCGATCGATATCTATCCCTCATAATAATGGGTACAGGAGACGAGACAAGGCGTTCGGGTCAACCATGGCTCCAGCTGACCATACCTGCGCCTGGCAGTAAAAAGGACTGCCAGGAACAGCAGATCGAAGCTTTAGACCCTTCCCAGGCGCCCACAGAGCCCAAAAGGTATTACAGTGCGTGCACCTCACCACCTCAGAGTTGTGGCGCGCCGCCTTCAGCTCTGGGACACGCAGAACCAAGCGAAGATATCGACAACCGCCACGCTCCGGAAAGGATTTGCTATCTCCACGAACGATGGGTATTCCGTCACCACACGGTGGACCCGAGGGAGCGGCGCCCGCTTCCCCGACCCCTCGGGTCCTCCCGGTCGGAAGGCCTTGACCACGGCGTTACACCGGACCCCGACCCGCATTCTCCCAACGAGGACTCATGAGAACCGAAGGCGTGCGGAGCAAGGTGGGGAGGCTCATAAGTCAAAACCATCATCTGCAGCCCATACCTGCTGCAGCAAAGATTACGTGACTAAACGACATCCTCTGAGACATCGACAACATTGTAAACACTTATCTTCCTTCGCACTCATCGAGTGGAGGACCCGACAGTAGACGTGAGCCACAAGACTAAGTAGAGTACGCGTCCCCGGAGCCCTTACCCTTGTAAAGCCGGCCCTTCATCTATAAAGGGATGCGCTTCTTCCATCAAGGGGGACGGAAGAAAAGGAGGACAAAACAATAGAACGCACTCACACACATTCAAGCGGCGGACGAAGCTCTTGACCACCTTTCAATCCTTCGATCGAGAGACTTGGGACGATCCCTCTCTCGGCAGTTTGTATCCCTTACTACAGATCGTTACGGTGCTAATAACACAAGCGACAAGAAAGCCCGGGCGTAGGGACGTTTTCGCCCGAACCAAGATAAATCCTGTGTCCTTTAGCGCACCATCCGAGCCTAACGCGCATTACTATAAATTCACTTGCGGTGCTTGTACGAAACACCGGCGGTTTGGTAGCGCTTGTAGGGGCTTTGCGCATTCCAAACCAGGTCTCGGATGACCACCCACGCAATCACCTGGGCCCCGGGCGCACACGTGCGTTTCGGCGACCTAGATTTCATCATCACACTAGAAGGAGAGCTGGCAGCGACTCACTCGGCCGCCCCATCTCCCCTTCCATCAACCTCAGCCATCTCAGCTTGAGGGTCCACCGGCAACTCCGGGAGTCCGCCACCCAAAGAAGCCTCTCACAATGCCACCATGTGTCCGGAAGGGTCCGTATGGAGCGCCTCGACAAAGCAGCGTTTCCGTTCGGTCTCGCATAGCGTTGCGGCAGCCGCTGGCCGTCTTTCTGGCGCTACGTGTGGTTCAACCACCCACGGACATCGAGTTCGTGGGGCGATTGAGCGGGATACGGAGACCCTCACGAGCTCCTCAACGAGGAGCACATGTCGCTCTCCGGCTCGGATTCCAGCAGGGGGGAGCCACCACCCTTCCGAGAATGCTACATGACGCAGACTCACGAGGGTCACGTCGAAAGCGCCTCAGGAAGAGGCCACCCCTACGAACAATCGACAGCGAGATCCGGGAAGAAGGGACAGCCCCATCTACTTTGAGGATGGAGTAGCTAAGGGCTCGTCGGCAAAGAGATCAATGAGGCAGGCAAGGGCTCATGCGGGAATACGCGGACATCAATCGCGAGATTGAACGCCGCAAAAGGCGGAGCGCGCAGCGGCACAGCCCGCACCGTACATCAAAGGATCCTCACCGACGATGGGGCCTTTCCTCACTTTGCTCGAGCCGGCCCGAACATCGCCGCGGCGATCGCCTTCTTGCGCATGGTCTCCCGAGGCCACGACGTCCGAGGATCGGCGCGCTTATCGGGAGATTCACACGTTGCTCGAAGCTTGCAACCTGCGCAAAGAAGCGGAAAGTTCGTTGTCTCGACACGCGAATCCGACACCGGCCAGTAGCGCACCTTGGTGCATCCCACCAAGGACGCATCCATACACCAAACACCACCGGCGGCGGGCAGCCCTCCGTCGTCCTCAGACATCAACGCCTCGGCCGTGGCGCGACGTGCACGTAGCATCATCGGCGCTTCGGAGACGCGTGCCGCGGCGACGAGGGAGAAGCAAAGCGCGCGGCTATCATCCCCGACGTGGCGGGCGCTACGACAAACAACGAGGACCGAAGCCCGAGCCCCGTCCCCCGCCAGCCCTCGGGCCTTTGGCGGCACATCCTCAACGCTGCGTTCCCTCTAAGGTATCGACCGCCCACGAACATTCCTAAATATTCGGCGAAACAAACCCGGGCTTTGGCTCAAGACTATCGGCTTGCATGTCGGGCCGGTGGTGCTAGCGATGATAATTTCATTATTCGCAATCTCCGCATTCTGGCCGACTCGGACGAAAGCGTGTATTGGAGCACCTACCGTCAATACTATTCGAGTTTGGCGGATGATCGACTGAGATCTTCGTGGGTAATTTCGGAGGCACGTATAAGCATACAGAAACCCATGGGACCTCAAGAACTGCCGCCGAAAGCCCGTGAAACCCTCCGCGGGTACATCCGGCGCTTTTCCCGACAGTGCAATGAGCTCCCGAACGTCGCCGACGCCGACGTAATAGGAGCCTTTTCGTAAGGAACGACTGCGAATCCCTGGTCCACAAGCGGGACGCGAGGGCCCGCTTGAACTACCAAGGAACTCGGACATCGCCACTAGTCACGCCTGCGGAGAAGAGGCGGTCGGGGAACCATCTTTGATCGTGTCGGCGAAAAAACAAGGCGGGACGAGGGCGCGTGGCGCCTCAACCGTCCGCCAAAGGGAAAAATAAGAAGCAACGGCGACGACACTCGCATGCCATTGCCGACCGC